ATTACTTTGATATCAATTATAGGCATATCAAACGGTGTTCAAACAAATAGGTCGGCATTATCTTTTATAAGTTGAATCAAATGGTCTTTATGCTAGAGTTTATCTCCAATCTGCATGTGTTTTTGAAGAGTATTATTCAAAACAAAATTATCATGAGGTTCTTAGCTAGTTCAGGTTAGTTTTCATCTAAGTTTGATCTTTGATCGATTATTTCTTTTTTGTTCCATTAAGTCGGGATCATTTTTTGTGAAAATAGGTCTCAATGTGATGATTAGTATATTAAACAACTTGTTAAACATATTAGTAAAAATGAAGTGTATTCTTCATTTAATGTTAAGTTTTGGCTGGTGTGTTAGCTCAGTCCAAGTGACATTAATTTTTTATGCCGACTTAAGAGCTTAGTTACTTTATTATTGTCTCAAAAAATTCAAAAAATAGAACAAATTAAGCTTTTATGGAGCTTAAGAGCTTAAGCAGCTTAAAAGTGTGTTTTTGTTAGGTTGACCTTACGTTTTGTGCTTTCATTATCAATTTTTTGATCTTTGTTAGCTTTCTGTATCAATTTTTTTTTTGTTTTCCACCTTGGTATTGGTCGAGTTGCCTATTTAGCTTTCCCAATCTTATCCTTCATCATTGTAACATAACATTGTCATACTGTGGATTGATCCTTCAAACTTTTTTAACCCCTGCAGGTGTTGGGAATTTCTACTTTTAAGTGGGAGCTAAGCTTATGAGCCGTAAAACAAATTGGCTGGGTTGGCTTAATATCATATTGTAGGCAGAGGAATATCTACTATCATGAACTCTATGACTGAGGTGATTGTCTTTGGTTTTAGTTCCCAGAGAGATTGAGAGTTTAATGGTTCTTTTACTAGCACATGTTCATTTTCAAACCCAACTAGTGTTATGGTGATCGGCTTCAACTAATCTTCCGTTGATCTCCATTTTCTTAAACAATTATAGTACATAATGTCAGTCAAACTCCCATTGCCAAATAGGATTTTTTTGACACATAGTTGTATACCAGCACTATGATCACTATGGTATCATCATGTAAGTATTGGATCCTCTTTAAATCTTTCGAGCTAAATGAGATCGACTTATCTTTTCAAATTTTTTTTTTTAGCTGTGGTGCCTATTGCCATTATGGAGCCTGAGTTGAACTTTTTTTTGTCCAGGTTGAGCTGTCTTTTGTGATCATGTTAATCACCCTAGTAATTGGCCTATAATTATCGGTTTGACTTTTTTCTTGATTCAGCTCTTCTCTTTAGGCATCTTTTTATCCTTGATTTGACCTTCTTTTTCTGCTTTGATGGGTGTTCTATAGTCATTTTTGTAGTCCCTTATAAGCTAGTCTTATCATTTTTGCCTGACAAATTTTTTCAGTTGACCTCACTTAATTAGAGTTTCAATCTTATTTTTCAAGTCGACACAATCTTTTGTATTATGGCCAATGTCTTGGTGGAATGTGCATTTTTTGGTTAGATCCCGCCTTGTATTCTGTCTTAATGGTTTAGGTCATCTGAGGTTAAAATTTCTTTTGATTTGCATTAGAATCATCTCACAGGAGGTATATTTAGTACAGTATAGCTTTTTTCTCTACTGGACCTTTTAGCCTTATGTTATTTCCTTTTTGAGGGATGATTGTAAAATTTTTTACCTTTTTTCGATCAAAAAAGAGGGATGGGCCTTTCTCACCTTGACCATCGATGATGGGGATAAGCCTCTCTCATCTTGGTTTGTTTTCAATGTAGTTTCAACATTGATATATTTCTTTGCTATTAGTAAGACGTTAGCCAGAGTTTTAGGTAGTTCCAACAACAATGTCAACTTCAAGTGATACTCCTTATCATTGAATCTACAAGTCAATATAGCAACAACGGTCATCTATTCTAGATCTTTGACATGTATAGCTTTCGCATTAAAATGCGTAACATAACTTTTTAAAGTTTCATTTTGCACTTGATGAATTGACATAGGTTTAGGGTTGTTTTCTTAGTTTCCAGTTACTTATAAATTGAGACAAGAATGAGTGATTAAGCTTTTTGAAAGTGATGATCGACCTTGGTTTCAAACTACTATACCAAGACCAAACTGCGCCTCTCAAAGTAGTGGCTAGACCTTTGCACATTAGAATCTCGTTTACCACCTGTATCATCATATTAGTTCTATAAAGTTCTAAATGATCAAAAGGATCAAAGTATTGTTATATGTCTCCAAGGTCGGCATTTTGAATCACTTGGGAGGCACATCTCTATCGATCTATTCGGTAAATGGTGAGGTCTCCAAAAATTTGAATTATCCTCAAATGCTATGGTTTCATTTTTAATTTTTTTCTATGACTTGCATCTGAACTTCCAAATCTTTGTTCGGTTAGGGTTCATAGTCTGTTTGTTTGGATTTTAGGTTGTAGCGTGTGTAAATTGTAGCTGAGATGTGAGAAATTGGATTAGTGTGCTCTTTTCTTTAGAGGCCGATAAGGCTTCTGCCTTTTCGTAGCTACCCAACAACAGCTTTTCGGTCTGTGATTAAGTTTGAAACTTTAGAGACTTATGGTGGGGTTATAGTTTGGGCATCTGTTTGAGGGCTTGTATTTGTTTGGTTAGAGCTTGAAATTGCTCAATGGTTGGCCTAGCTTGTGGTTGAGCTGGGCGAATAGAATGTTGGCTTTGGTGAGTTTTTATTCCAACCGAAGCGGTATTTCTCCTTCTTCTTAGGTTCTTTTTTAGGTGGCAATGTTTTGTGCTCAGCTGTTATAAAAATGCTGGCATTTTACTTGGCGTGCGAAATGTTTGTACCGAGCTTCCACTTGAAGGCAATCCTGTAAAGACAGAAAAGAGGAATGATAAAGGCTAAGGCAGGGGATGTTCTCTGTGTTTACACTCCGACGCGTAAATCAATAAGAATTAGATCAAAAATGAGATGAAAAAATAGATAGAAAGAAATGTATGAGTAAATGAACCTGACTTCATGATGTTTAAATCTCTATATTTATTGTCAAAGTGAGAGGGGATAAAAAGGGACAATTAGGATAAGATCGAGCTGAGGTGACATTAGAGATGTCAGACTGAAATGACATATCAAGTCGATACAAATGATTAAAATATCCTTAATTATTTGCTAAAGATTAAGAAAAAAAATTATTATATCCTTTTGATCATTATATTCCCTTCACAATATTATTTATTCATTAGCCACTCTTTGGCAAGCATTTCTCAATTGTTAACCTTTTCTTCGCTTCTCTTGTAAAATTTTATTTCCTTTTCTTAGGAATCGAAAGATTAGAATAAGAAATAATTCTCTTTAATTTATAAATATTTCAAGTATTTTTGAAAATTCCAAAATAAACATAAAGTTTTAACCGTTTAGAAGTTCTTTTTGAAAATACCGCTAATACACTCTTGAAATACTATAGATATTGCTTAGTTATAAAAACTTTTGATGCTTATATAAGATATGTTTGGATATATAAAAAATCATAGAAATTGATACAAATTATAATCGCAATGCCAAAGTAGTTGAAATTAAGACACCGAAAATCTAATCAAAAGATTTAAATGAAACAACCTATAATTAGTTGATCTAAATAACAGCAACTTTTAAGAACGGTGGGCATTGCAACGCTGTAACATTTATGGAATTTGCTTCCCGTTCTTATTATCTCATAAAACTATATCTTTATTACATCTGTACAGTTGGTATAAACGGATACATCTGCCTTGACTTGATTGACATCCGTTTTTGCTTTTATTACCTTTTTTTTCTTTACCCAAAATAACTAATCATAAAGCATCCACTGCAGCTGAATTGATACGATGGTTACCTACTGAACATTTAAGAATTAAGCAGTGGCTTCCGTGAGCATGCTACAAGGTTAAAAATGTGACATGAGTATTACAAAAATTTGCTATAAAAATCACAAACATATTAATCTTCGCGTTCTTTATAAGATAGAGATGTTAGATTCATATTAGGATTGTACAAACGAGCAAGAATTGTCTTCCATTATAATTTTATGTGATGGAAGAGAAAATTTAGTTCTAGTTTAATATTGCTGATAAAAATAATTTTTGTATTAAAAATTACTTTAGATTTAATTGTAATGCTAAAAGGATGATTTTTCAGTTTAAAAACTTAATTTATAAAGTAAAAAAAAAAAGTTCTTAAAAAATGTTTTTATAATAAAAAAATACATTTGAGATAATATTAATATATTTCCATATTTTTTAATATTTTATTATTATATATTTTTAAATATTTCAATTACTTGTAATATTTTTTCACATTAATACTAAATACTTAAAATTTTAATCACACTTTTTTATTGTATTTTTTAAACACCTTTTACAACTCAAACTTTTTCGATCATAACAAAAATGCTAAACTCACCCTTATTCTCTATTGTTGCATCGCTATTAAAACCTTTATTTGAGTGTAAATCTTAGACAAAACTCAGTCATTATAAGTTAATAAAATGCAGCATAAATTTGATTTTAAAAGAAAAGCAAGATAGGTGGCGTGAACAACTATGAACCTTATATTAGTATTTTTATACATGCCTCATTTAATAATTTAAAACAAATAGCGAAGATCTTCACTATTCTCTACTTTTAAGTCGGGAAAAAAAATCATCTTACGTTTCCATGACCTTTTTATGATTACAGTTCTAGCTTATGATAAAATACCAAATTATTGCAACTAGGTAGCTTTGTTAACTAGGCAACTAGGCAGCTCAAATCTTATAGCACTCACAACTAGACAAGAAAGAGTTAAATAAACATTAAGATGTTGGTTAGATTGGTATAGAATTTGGCTGGGGTGCCAAATCTGTAAATATTAAATGTCTCGTACAAATATAATCATGAACAGGATCCTGAGATTTCGGATGCAGAAGCAGCGATTCAGAAAATCACATTTCCCCTTCATTTCTTGCTTGTCATCCTACGTACTCGGCACATCAAAGAAAACGGATGAACATCTATCTATAAAAAGTACCACTCGATGGCATTCGAAGCGCAATCTGATTCTGTTCATGAAATAATGTGTGTTGCATTCATAGCATTCGACTCGAGTCGATATATCAAGGAACATTGGACTAACTATAACCATACCACTAAATGGCATTTGTGTCTCAAATCCAATTCTGTCAATGGAATATTAAGTGCCCCATCACAACATTCAACTTGAGCCACTGATATAGCCAGGGAACTCTTGTAATACCATAATCAGTACTTAGAACCACATAAACATTTAGCATGCTAAATCGGATGAAATTGGGAACATAACAGAAAAGTGACCACATGCACCAACGTGAATAAAACCCTAGTAAATTTTTTTAACTCTCCAAATTCAGAAACAAGCCAAACTGTTACTCAGACCAGAATTTTATAAAGACTCCAATAAAGGATTTGAAAATAGCCCAAAGGGAGTTTCGGATTCTGCAGCAGTTTTTGGTGTCCCTTCCCATGATTCACTGTCCATAGAAATCAATGTAATCCCAAGGAACTATATAATGTTCAAACCTATGAGTAAGACTGATTCAACTTAAAGTATTATGAGCAAAGACTAGGAATACTTACAGATTAATTCTAATGGTTTATTGCTTCCTTTCTTGGAAATGACACGCTGCGCGTCAACTTTACTTTCAACCACAACAGCCCCATCACATGTTGACTTCCCACTGCTGCTGCCAGTGTAAGTGCCTTGAATGTTTGGGTGGATGCCATTTGAAGCAAGTATTGCCTGATAAAAACAAATGATCTGTGAATCAAGAAAAAAAAATTGTTGCAAAATGTTTCCAAGGATAAATAAAGATTAACTTTCATACGCCATCAAGTTTTATAAGACATTTTTGAGTTCAGATAACATAAAGGTTCTAAACCATCAGGTTCTCATTCAATCCACTATTAAAATATTTCTCATTAATCAATTTGTTCAAACAAGACGGGTTTACTATTATATAACAAAAAATTTAAGAAAAATATGCCCACATAGACTGCAGAAGATACCACGTAGTTTAGCTACAAAGGACTAATTGTTTTTGTTGAACATAAACAATCATCAGTTTAACCTAAAACAAATCAATTAACTTTCTCCAACTAACCCATAGTATTTTTTTTTTTATATTATGGATCACAACTGCAGAAAGGCAAATAAACTACGAGCACCTAACTGAACTTCAAGTCTTTATCAGGTTCACCACTACTGCATACCCAAATATATGGAGAAACCAAGAAAGGTGATTTAAAATTTGCTCCCGTAAGTCATCAGAAGATGTGCAGGAATGCATTGCCACGCATCTTGGTCATGTTAAATTATTAGCAGCATCATTTTATTTCCAACAAACATAGCAGCATAATTTTATTTTCAACAAACATGGTGCATAAGTATGCATCTTGGTCATGTTAAATTATGAGCAACATTTTCATTTTTCAACAAACATGCGTTTGTTGAAGAGCCTAAACTTTAAAATGTATGGATGGAAGGGGACTAGAGGAGTTCCACTAGAGCCTAAACTTTAAAACATCGTTTTCCACTTCTTTCTCGTATGTCAAAATAGAAACCTCCGAGGTATTCATATCATCTAACTTAGAACTTGCATTTTCTAGACTCACATTCACCTTCAAATTTTCTGTTTGGTCCAAATTTCCATTTAATTTCATTACTTCGCTAGAGCTTCCATCAATGCTGTCAGTTGGTTTAGCAACAGGACGCAATGGAAATGTCTCTACTACTACATCTGCTGTTATCTGAGTGACTTTAGATGTGACTGCAGCCAGTTCTTTACCACTTTTTTCACATTCCAGAGGTTCAATTGCTTGCAACTCTACAATTGCCACTTTATCAGTTCCATTGGTCACATCTACAAGATTCCCATTAGTAATTTGCTCACTGTCAAACTCTTTATATTCAGATACCATAGAAAGCCCAGTGACCGAAACTGATTCATCACTTGCATCCTCATGATGACTAGAGACAAAAGAACTTCCATTTGATTGTAAGGGCTAAAGAGTTTTGGGTGCTGTGGAAATTGAACCCAGTGGATTTTGTTTCAAGAACTGATCAGTGTTCTGCTCCCCTTCAGTCAATTTAGCAGGATCCAACACGCTATTTTCTTGGATTATCTCTCGCACAATCTCCCGTATTATGTAGAAAGACCCACCAACTTCCTTGTGGGTGAGGTTAAGAGATGGAAAATTTCCATTGTTTGATTTCTGATACCTGCAGTAAGTTCATCCATGGGTGAGTTTAAGAGATGGAAATTTTCTATTGTTTGATTTCTGATACCTGCAACAAGTTCACCAAATAAATGGTACAGAAAGATAGCAATCACTTCAGATTTTGGTTAAGGAAACTAGAAAGTTTAACATAGTTGTTAAAGAGGTGAACAGCCTATAAGTTTAAAAATCCACATGAATAGACATAAATGAAGAGCAAATAATATAGAAATGGGAACACCAAATTGGATGCAACATGGAAATTGAACCACTCAACTCTACATAGGTTTAAAAATCTAACATTGCATACTACAAGCCTACTATTAGTGTTTCTGTTACTCGTATAGTTTCAGCTATATTAACTTCTTTTTTGTAAGTTTGACACCATAGAAGCACTAGATATTTAAATGTTTAGATAACAGTACTATGTTTCATAGTATGTGTTGCAGCCTACACCATGAAGCCCTAGGTTTCAATGTAAATGATTGGCTGAAACATAAGATAAGAAAAATTACAAACAGACAAGCACAACATAAAATTAAATGAAACATCTAAAACTTTAGCCTGAAAAAATGAACATCCTAAAAAAATTTTAAAAGAAGAATAAACCTCAATTAAATTGTTACTTTTGCTACTTGCTTTATACTCTTTGCCTATTAGTTGCTTAAAATTTGTTAGACATGATAAGCAAATACAGAATAATATATAAATTTATAACCATGTAGCTAAAATCTAAAACACATTCGAACCTATTTCATATAAAATTAAAATTGCATATTTTGTTAGGTAGGGCCTATTTTCATGCACATTTTTTCTTCTCTCGCATACTAATCATATTTACTAACATGTGAGTCCAACTCACCTACTCCCGTGATAACTTACGTTTGCGTGAAAGAAGTAAAGCCATAGGTGGAAATAGACTCACCATTTTTCAATTCAAAATTTCCAAAATTTTATTTTTCCATTGTTTAAAACTAGTCGTTTTTGGATCAAAAGGCATTATTTACTTTTTTTTATTCCTCCAGTAAATCTCGAATTTGGCAAAAGTAACGACCAATCAATGCCTAATAAATTGAAAAAAATTTCTCACATTTTATCTTTTTATAGGGATCAAAATGTTCATAAAATTATCATTGCTTTTGAACAAAATTTTAGAAAAGCCCTCAAATTATTTCCAAAAATTCCACAACAATTTATATAATTATTTCAACTCAACAATTTCTGGCTTACAATTAGGTAGCATTTGACTACCTCAATTTTACAGTCCAAGTAGAAAAACGACGATGTAAGAAATGAAAAACCTATAGAAGTTAAAAATGAAACGTCAACAGATCTGACATAAAAGAAAATTTAAGCTAAAGATGTAGCCGCTCTTTCCGAAATGCCAATCAAAGATATTCGTATATGGAAATTAAAACCAAATTGGATAACAAATATCGTCTATAAATTAGAAAAAAAAAGACTATGATTTACTCATAAAAAAACAAATAATACTAATAAAAAGGCACCGCCCGACCTCGTCTTTCAGCCATGATAAACAAATTATAAAAATAAATAAATCTGCTGCGATTTGACAGTGAAAACATAAATTAAAATAAAAAAGGAAATTAAAGGGGAAATCAACGGAAAATGAAAGAGCTTAAATTGAGACGATGTAAGTATGTAACCGCTGTTTCAATTTGTCATTACAATTAAGTAATAATTCAGAAACTGCCTAATCCAAAAAAAAAATAGAGAAAGTATTCAAAAAAGTAGAAAAAAAAAAAACAGAGAGAAAGAGAGACCTGAAGAGCTTGGAAGCTGGAGAACTTGAAACCGAATCTCTCTCCAGATTTATCAGACTTTTGCTTATGTAATCTGAACATTTTTCTTTCTTCTGTTTCAGATTTTCACATGGTCTCTCCTCTCTGAAATAAAAAGGAGTGCGTACTTAAAAGAGAAAATAATAAGAAAGGAGAGAGAGACGAGGGACGGAGCGTTAGCGGTCATTTTGTTTAGTAGTTTGTCAGATGTTTGTTTCGGAGCTTTATTTATTTGTTTTAAATTTTTTCTTTGTTTTTTCAAAGCAAACCTTGTACTATTGTTGTTTATGAATTCATTCCTCTAACTTTTACTATTTTGGTTGAGACCCTTTTCTCTTAAATTCCTTTTTTGTTACTTACTTTTCATTTAAAAAATTAAAAATGCATTTTTACAACAAAGTAAAATATTTTTAAACAATAACAAAATTATAATAATATAGTTAAATTTAGGTTTTTTTTTAATTAGAGTACAAAAAAAACCCTATATTTTTTCATTTAATTTCATTTTTTACATTAAATTGAACTATTTTATTAAACAAAAAAGGAGTTGCGAGTAACATCAAAGAAGCTTTAATAAAAATATTCAATTGTAATTAATTTTCATATCACACTCATACTAGAAAGAAGTTGACTTTGAATTAAAAAAGATTAAAGCTAAATCTAGAGACGTTGTGACTACAAGGAAGTATATAGGCAAAAAGCAATCAAATTGCTATGAATGAATGCTGCTAAAATTACTATTGTTTTTAGCTAAATTTAAATTGCTATATAAACAGAATTTTTAGTTATAAAAAATCATAAACAAATTTAACAAAATAAAAAAATATATTTTTTATATTTTTTGTATCAACACAAATGACAACAAATAATTTTCATATAAAACATAATATAAATATATAAATTATTAGTATTTTATATGATATAATACACGAATTATTAGATCTATGTTTAGATTACAAATAAGTATAATTTATCCTATGATTAAATTTCATCATTAGTTAAATATTTATAAATAAATTAAGAGGATATCTCAAAAGTTAGAATTTAGAATTTTAAATTTTAAATTAAGATTTTGAGTCATGAAAATATAATACAAAATTTAAGAAATTATTAAAGATTTTTTGAATCGTAATTTTCAAAATTTGTCCGATTTACAGAACGTTTGAGTTAATGCTCAATTGACTCAATTTTTGTTGTTGAGTGTTTTTTTTTTTTTTTTTTTTTATACATAAAGACGGAAGTCTGCTTACACTAATGCTCCATTGGCCAAAGTAAAAAATAGGCTTTAGGCCTTGCGACTCTCTAAATATCATCTTGCATTAGTCTATTTAAAATGGTAAGAGAAAAATTGTTAATTATCATTGTCTTTGAAACAAATTCTATATATTTATGAAATAAAAATTGTTTAAAATTCTGTTGAAAATTAAATATTGAGTAAATTTGTTAATTAATTTTTAAAAAGTAGATACAATTTTACAGAAACTCATAAATAATTTATTATTATTTTTTTGCAAAGGAGAGAGACAATTATGATATAAAACTAGTTTTGAAACACTATTGAAACCTAAAAACTTATAAGATATTTATTGAATCTTTTGTAAAAGAGTTATACAATTTTATAGAAACTCATATGCAATTTTTTATTGAATTAATTTTTTTAAAAATAAATACAATTACGATATAAAACTATTTATGGAGTGTAAAAAAGCAAGAATATTAAATGTTTTCATTTTTTTAATTTCTTAAATTTTATGCAAAGCTTTCCCATAATAATTTTTTACACTAATTTTAATTAGGCCATGCCTAGATAATAATTTATATTCAAATCTTGAAAAAAAATATAGTGAAGAGAAAACCAAAAAGGCTACGGTGGTTTTAACCTAAAAAACAAATACAATACGTAGGGGATGCTCTCTTCATTATTAAGAATGAAGAAAGGACAAAAATACTTAATTAAAAAAAAAATAAAGAACAAAAATACTTGTTATGAAGAGAATAAGTTGATTAAATGAAAGAAAAGACCCGCCTTCCCCTCTTGATTTTACGGGCAATTTCAAGCCAACAACCCCATGTGGAGGGTTCAACATCCTTTTAAAGGTGGCCTTTTATTTACTTTCTTTTGTATGATTTATTTAGACTGTTATTGGTTTCTAAAGGAAATGAAAGTGGAATTTTAACTTCATTAAAAAATATCGATTTAATTTTTTGACCTATATAAATAATTTGTAATTAATCTTTGCATTAAAGAGGGAAAAAAGTTGAAGGAAAGAAAACAATATTCCAAATCCAAACAATTCTGCCATTTTATTTCTTTTTGCAGTTTTTACCAAAGAAAAAGAAAAGGGAGTACAAAGCCTCGAAGCAGCACCTCGAATTCCATGAAAAAAATTGGATTCCTATGACAAACATCATTTGTGTAAGACCAAACCTTAACATAATGAGACAAATGTCTGGTCTTTAAAGTCAAAAGGAATCTGTTTCCAAGTAAAAAATGTTGGGAGTTTCTTTTATATTGTTACCTTTTCTTTTCACTTTTTCCTGATTTTCCTTTTTCTCTGTTACTTTCCCATTTCTCCTCTTTGATTTAATTCTTTCGGCAACAAAGATTGAAATATGTAACGGAGACGGTGCCGGCATAACATAAGATACTCTAAAGTTTATTTATTTGTTAATTATGACTTAGCTTTAACATTTTAAAATTTAAGATTTAATTTAAAATAATAAAAATGAAGGTAAAGAATATGTCATTGCAAATCTAAGTATATAGTTTTATTCTTGTTCTTTAAATACCAGAATATATGAAAGTAACAACCTTATTTTAAATCTAATGTTTATCATAAAGTTTGATGTATAAAATAATAGATAAAATATGATGATAATTATTTTATATTATATTTGATTTGTATCAAAAAAAGAATATGATTATTAAAAGAATTATCATCTTTTTTGTATAAGATAATTCAATCCTCTCAAAGTGGAAAGAATTATTTTTAATTGATAAGATTGAACTTACATGTTTTATTATACATTTAAAAATTACATTAATAATTTAAATTATATAAAATTTGAGAAAAGATAATTTTGACTAATAAATAAATTTTTTTATTCTAATTCTTGTACATATCAAATATAAGATATAATACTATTATTTAATTTAATCTTATTCATAATATTATCTTATCTTATCCTATTATAATTTTGTGTATCAAATATAACTTTTATACCTTAATTAAGATTATATTCTCATTATTCTTGTTTACAAAATCGATTGTTTTTTGTTCAATCAAAATTATGAAATGACTTAATTGATAAATTTATTTATTTCAACAAAAAGTAATATGGTTTTGAATCTTATAAGTATTGAATTTTTTGTTGGTATTAATTTTGAATGCACAAATTTTATTTATTACAGAATATCTTGTTCGAATTTTAAAAATTTGAGTGATTTTTTAATTTCAGATTCGTAAAAAAAAAAAAAAAAGGAAATTGAAAATATGCTGTCGGGAAATCATTTTCGTCATTATCAAATCTTTAGATAATATAATATATTTTCATTATTTTCATATATACTGCAAAGGGACCAGTACATTAACATCGTGAGTATTTACTATATATACTTTTTATATTATTGCATAGATTGTGTATCTCTTACTTTTTATATTATTGCATAGATTGTGTATCTCTTACTCAACCATGGACTCCAAGCTTCATCAATTCAATAGCAGTGCTTGTCTACTGTTCACATAGAATTATTATTCAATTTTTACTTCTTATTCCAAATAGCAATGGAAAAAGAAAAAATTAATTAAAAAATTGAATAATAAAACTATTATTCAATTTCACTTAGAATTGCTTTCTTCAAAGATAACCTTTTTTTTTTTTTTGTCTCTTGGATTGAAAATCAAATTTCAAATTATTTTGACTTTCAAAGCCATAGTTGAATTTAAAAAAATTATATATATATATATATATATATATATAATGAGCAGTACAAATTAATGGCGGAATTAAAATTATGTCCGACTAGACACAATAACATATAGTGTACAAATAATTCAAACTTTAAGAGTAAGTATTTTTGTGTATACACAAATACACAACCTAGGATTTTGGAAACTGACATCGCATGATTACCTGATCAAACAGGTGATATGGTTAGCAGCATGGCTGTTGAGAGCATAAGTTGGCAAGAAAATGCTAACCAAGGTGGGAATTGGCGGGAACCAATAACCAATGATGAGAGAGGAAATTGGCAACGGCCAACATATGCTCAGTTCAATGAATTGGGAGAAGGCGATGCAGAAGAAATGGATACAAATTGGCAAGAAGGTTCAGTTAGTGAGCACCACTAAGAAAATCCTGGAAATGTAAATGGAGAAGAAAGTCATCGGCAGGAAGACCAGAGGGTTTGGCGTGAGGATGGCTCTCAAGAAGTTGATAATTGGTCAGAAGGACCTTCTGACCTCCAAGAGTACGTCGTGCAATCCAAGTTAGAAGGTTCAGTAGATTTCATCCACCTGATGATGATAATGTGAATGGTATGGAACTTAGAGAACTTCTGAGTAGGTATTTGATCACATGGTTTTTTTACGCTTAAAAGTAAAATTTGACTTCTTTGTTGGTTGATATAATTTAATTTGTAGGAGTGTCTCTAATCTTCTTCGAAGCGGTTTCCTGCAAAGTCTAGACCAATTAATATGGTCTTATGTGGAAAGACAAGGTCGTTCTCCTATTGATTAGGATCTGCATAGAAACTTGCCAACTCGAGCCTCACCAGAGCGTGATCAGGAGCAGCAGAGGGCTGAAACAAACGATGATCACAATGATGCTATTAACAGACCTTCTCCTCCAGTGCCACCACCACAACAGTTGTGGCATCAGGATTTAGATCACACTAGCTGGTCTAGGCACAGCATGCATAGATCAGAAATTGTGAGCCATCTTTCGTGGTCTTGCAACTGTATATTACCATAACTATTGAATCATTTCCATGCTGTTCTTTATAGAGTGTTGTGTTAGGTATTAAGTTGTTCTCTTGGAATAAATTTTAGCATAAAGAGGTGGGCCTTGGGAATTCTGATTGTGAGTTTCATACCGAAGGGAAAATTATTTGTGGAAATGACTCCATTTGGGGAGACATTTTGTTGGATAAGAAATTGAATTGTATATCAGGGAATTTATCGCCCTCCCTAATTGTGGTTGTTAATTTTTGTCAATTATGCTGCTCTTTTTGTATCATTATAGGTTGTCAGTCTCGGCTTGTTCGATAGTTGCTGAATTTTATCCGGAAATAGGCCCAGATATCTTACTTTTGAGCCCTATACAGTACTTTTTGTTACTCTGCATACTTCAAGTTATTTATGAGGATGCTTATTTTTTAGCAGGAATGGGAGATGGTTAATGATCTAAGGGCTGATATGGCAAGACTCCAACAGGGCATGAGCCACATGCAGAGAATGTTGGAAGCCTGCATGGATATGCAGCTGGAGTTACAGCGATCTGTCAGGCAGGAAGTTTCTGCCGCTTTGAATAGATCAGCTGGTGAAAAAGGTTTGTAAATCCTCCCAACTTTTGTTTCCTTGGAAGCATTATTTTGGATTTTTTTTTTCTTTATATGTGCCATGAGGTAGTTTGATTTTTCTTTTGTTTTAATATTTCACTTGCATTACAGGCTTGAGTGCAGAAACATCGGAAGATGGGTCTAAATGGGGTCATGTGAGGGAAGGGACTTGCTGTGTTTGTTGTGATAACCATATCGATTCACTTTTGTACAGGTTTACCTTCTTAACTTCTCTAAATCTTTCCACGGTCAATATCAAGAGCTAGCACTGGTGTATGCACATATGTGATTATATATGGCAACTGTTTTAGACATTAAAAAAATTGGTTGCAGATGTGGACACATGTGCACATGTTCAAAATGTGCGAATGAGTTGGTTCGTGGTGGAGGAAAATGCCCATTGTGTCGAGCACCTATAGTGGAGGTAATCCATGCATACTAATACTGTAGAGAGATGAAAGAACAGAATGACCGGTAAGGTCTAAGAGAGGCAATGTCATTAAAGGTTCCAATCTATAGTTGTTGTTGCCGGTGTTTTCCCACGTGCGGTGTATAATTGGAATAACAATTGGCATCATTGATTCATCATTTCCACGTAAATAAAATGTCGTCCATAATTTTGTTTTTCTGTCTCCTCTCTTTTTCTTCCAACCTTTTCCAATTCATTAGATATTTTCTATCTTCTTAGGGTAATCAAACAAGTTTGCTTCTAAAGCCTAGAAGCCTGAGCCAGCTAGCCCATATGAAAGACTCCTTTTTGGCTTTAAGTTGGTTTGGAAATACTGCAAGTTTGGGAGATATAGCTGCTGGTTCCAAGCTTTGTCCTTGATAAAAAATTAAACATCAACACTAATCCAATGACCCCCTTTTGAACCCTAAATCTATATGAAAATCCAATTAAGAAATGCAATAAACATATCGAAATTCAAGTCTCCTAAGAAGGTGAAAGCTTTTGTTTTCAACTTTGGTCACTCTGCTTCTCTGATTTTTTTTTTTATTGAATTTGTATTCAAAACAATACAAAGAGTTACTCTTGATTATTACATATGGTTACTTTACCGAATAATCATTTTGGGTCATCAAAATTTGGAAGAGGTGTAGAAGCTAGGCAGTGAAAGAGAAGGAAAAACTCACCAGAATTATTTTAGATTTTCCAGCAAAAAAAAAAAAAAGAAAACTGCAAATTAGGGAGAATTAGATAAAACGATATATAAATCAAGGGAAAAAAGAAAGCAAAACAGTTGGATCAACAAATTTGAAGAGGGAAAATGAGGTTGCGGGACAAAATTGAAGACCATTTTTCTGTGGAAAGCAAGTGGGGCAGGAGTAGCATCTAGAATCCGCTAGTAAAAAACCAATTAAGATTCCACCAAGATTTTTGCTTCTTCTTGACAGATCTAGATTGTTGTAGTAAAAACCAATGAAGATTCACCAATGAACATGTTTAATGAGTTTTATGTTCATAAATAAAATATTTAACTCTAATAACAGTTATTGGAAACTTATACATTGGAAGAACAAGTGTACATTACCTCCTAATATTTGGCGAGAGATAGAAACACTGATATAATTACCTTTAAAAACATGAGTAACGGTAATTGAATCATTTTAAGAATTATTTTGAGAACAGAAAAAATAGATTTTTAGAGAGATGTATATGTAGTTTCAAGCAAAAAAGAAAGGTACATGGGATGAAAATTAACATAGGATCAGTAATTTTGCACTTTAAATTTGGTTCTTGAATAATTTTGCACTTTATAAAAGCTATCAAAGAAAAATTCAAGGTAGCACTTTATTCAATAGAACTAATTTAACAAAGAAAGAAGTTGCATAACTCAAGCTTAAGGCTTATAAAAAGAAAGAAACGATCTAAATATAAATGTCATTCAATTCAAACCCAAACAAAACAAATCAAATCATAGACAAACACAAAGTTACCATTGAAATCAAATCTTACAACCCAATCCCAATCCCAATCAAGCAACACTTACAACAACAAACATTTAATTAATTAGATCAAGTTGCCTTATATTTTCCAACATCATCTTCATCATCATCAACTCAAACCTTCCATCCAATTCATCACCCAATGTATATGGTGTCCCAAATGCCAGCCAAAGAACCACTCCCGTGCCTTCATGCCTTCATGCCTTCAACGACCTAAAACCGCTCTTTACATCTACACTCCTACTTACCATTTACCATTTCCTATTCCGTCGACATTAATTTGTAGTGGGCAATAATGTTGCATTTAGAACACTTGAGAGCTTCATCTTGGCAAAGCTTACCACAAACAGCGCATTCAGGGTAGCCATCAACCTTATGGACAAATATGACATCGTCACCGTGTTTGTGAAAATCAGTCCACCAAGTGCTACCGTCCTTCAGAAATGGATATTTTCCAGGAACACATTCAGGATGAACAGAATTATCACAAGTTGACACTGTAGGGTTTAGATTTTTAGTGGTATTTTTTTTAACATTTAGTGGCATTTATAAATGCCACTAAAAGATTTATACGTTTGTGAAAAATACCAATTAGAGTGCTGGCTATATACGTGTCACAAAAAATAGCGGTGTTTTAAAAAAAATACCACAATATTAACGGTATTTGTATCTGAAAACGTCGCTATATTAGCGAGATTAATATTTTTGAAATGCCGCTAATTTAATGACATTTTTATGAGAAAAATAACGTTGCTTATGTGGTGTTTGTATATGAAAATGTTGTTATTTTAGCGATATTTGTATTTGAAAATGCATCTATATTAGTGGCGTTTATATCTTTGAAACATCGTTAATTTAGTGACATTTTTATGAGAAAAACGTCATTGCTTTGGTAACGTTTGTATAAAAAATACATCGCTATTTTAGCGACATTTTCTAGTAAGAACGCTACTACTTTGAGTGACGTTTTATTATACAAACGTCACTAAATGATTCATTTAGCGACATTCTTGAATGCAAACGCCGTGAAATTAAAAAAATATTTTTTTTAAAAAAAATTTTCTGTTAATATTTATTATTTTCATAAACGAACTTAAATTCAAAAATTAAAATTAATATAAACTTAATTCATGTTCAAATATGTATCTAATTAACACAAAGTTTGATAATTAGTATCATAATATTAACAAATATTTTTAATACATTAACAAAATTAAAATTAAAATTTATAAAATTGATGACTGCATAAATTTTGAAGGTTGACAATTGATGAAGAAAATTATTCACTTTGGTTACTAGCGTGCTCAAGAACCTACTGAATAATATCATATAATTTTTAACACTTCATTATAAGCTTTTTTTATATTAAAAAATATAAATATTTACTAAATATAATACCTGAGTTAGTGGACCACCGAGATTAGTTCTTGAAAATTGTTGTTGCATAAAATTTATAAGATAATCAAATCGATCATGTAACTACTGAAATTTTGCATGCTCTTGCTCATTCTAGCATGTTTTTCTTCAATTTTGGCACGCTTCTGTTCTTTTTCTGCTTTCATTTGCTGAAAATGTTATTGCATAGTGTGCAACTCCTTTCTCAATATTGAAATATCTCGCGAAGACTGACTTGCTGAGAATATAAATTGTTGAGAGCTATGTCCATAGTAGGTAGATGGTGTTGGACCCAATCCAAGGCCTTGGACCCGTCCATGCCTTTCTTTTTCAATGACTTCTATGAATATCCAATTTTTCAATTCTTGCATATTGAGAGAACCATTAGATTCTACTTCAATCTCAGCAGTCATTTTCTCTTTCGCGTTTTTCTGTAAATTTATCATATATAATTATCAAGTTTAATAATTAATTGATAATATGTTAAAAAGAGTAAATATTTACTTTTTGTTAAAATAGATGTTACAAATTACCATAATTTATTATGTTTCGACATTCATGTAAGATCCATATTTTTTTATGTGTATTAAGCGAAAAAGTTCTACACGTCAAATTTTACCGCCCATCTCATTTTCCTATCCAAAAACATATGTTATTTGATATGATACATATCAACCGTAACTTATTTATCAAGCCTGTCAATCAACTATTAAAATTTTGAATAATTTTAATATCATATATTTATATTTTGATCCCGTAACAACACAATAGTTTTAAATAGACACAAACAATAAAAGCATTTTGGGCTTTCACATATATCTATCATGGAAATCAAATTTAATTATTTGGACAAGTTTAATATCATGGATTGAAGCTATTCAATCTGTTGAAAGCCATCCAAAAGTTTAATTTGTATATTTGCCTTTTATATGCAAAAATAGTCCCAAATAGACATAAATGACAATTTTTTCTCCCATATCAATCGTAGAAACCAAGTTCAATCAATCAGACAAGTTTAATATCAAGTATTGAAGTTATCCAAATTGTTAAAATACAACAATAACAACAAATTTGTATTTTTACCTAAATATATGTAAACAATAACTTTTTTATACATATCATCCATGTCAACTAAGTTAAAACTTTTGATAAGTTTAATATCATGTATTGAAACTATGAAAACTATTAAAATAGAACAATAACTATTAATTTGTATATTTACCTTTTAATGGCACAAAAAATTCATTCACTGGAATAAGTTTAAAATCATAAACTTACTATTTCTCTTTACTTTCTTGCAAAACTTTTTGATCCACTTGTATGGCTATATTTCTGTTGCTTTCTGCTACCAATCCCAAATTGTTCTCTTTCCTGTCGTAAAAAATAATTGTGTATATGATAGAAATACAAATATTACCAACTTAAAGCATAAAACACTTTCATCATTTCATTATACTATACAAAGTTATAAATTAGTACCTCTCCTTTTCTTGAGAATCAAAATCTAACTAATTATTCATATTGCCATTTAATCACATTACGAGGTAGATTTTCCATCATCGCCTCTATAGTAATATTTCGATCAAAATACTTATTCTTCAAATTATGCTTATAATCTTTCCATTTCTTTCCGAATGACTTAAGCACAAATGAACTTTGTATTTGAAATACAAATCTTCATTGTAATAATACAATAAGAAAAGTTTGAATAAGTAAACAAAGCATAAAATAATTATATTTTTATATGTAATTAATTATACTAATACCTCAATAAAGTTTAAAGCATCGACCTTAACTTCTTTTAGAGCTTATGCCTTGTTTCATAATGAATAGGCAATTTTATTCCATTACGGGCAAGCATGCCTATAAATCCAGCCACCAATTGAGCCTCTTCACCAATTGGTTGTCTATCAGAACTACAATACGCTTATTTGGAGGTAGTGCAAACAATTCATTCAAAGTTGTCCGACCTCTGGTCCTCCATTGACCATTGTTATCAACTGTAACAAATAAAAAATAAATTTGTAAAATGGCAATACTTTTAATATTATACTTGAATTCTAAATATGGGGTATATGATACTTGTATTCAAATTTAAAGCATAATCAATTGACGAGATACTATCTAAACTTAAACTTTCTATATTGTAAAATCCAATATCAGTTGAAGGAAGTGATTGAATTAGATCCGACAGTACGTTCATTCCCTTCCAAAAGATTTAGTCCATAGCCAATATCAACAGGTGCCACAGACGATTCTGAACTAATATCTCTAATCCTTTCAACTTACTCCTTCACATTGTAGCTTACCTATATCATAAAAGCGAATATAGAAAAGATATTAGTTTAGAACATATATAAAGACATTGAAATGTTAAGAAATCAAAACCTACAATATATAAAGAACATATTGATTTAATTATATCAAAAGATAATGTGTGATTTAAAATACAATAAATATATAATAGCGAATGTGACATTAATTACATACAATCATTTACTACATTATGTCTTAAACACTCGAATTACAAAATATAGATGCATCATTTCATGGTTCATAAATGTCTTTAGTAATATCTTTGTAGACCCACTGAGTGTAGGTACTATAGATATTTTCATCTAAGTTTTGTTTAACAAAAGGGTAACATTCAGTTTTATGTTCAACATCATCTCAGTAT